TCCAAAACTTTGAGCTACAGTAGTGTGCAAAAGGTTTGTGTCACCACTCGTTTCTTTAGGGTTTGCTTCCAAAAAGCTTTTCTTAGAATAGTCTTGGGTGGCAGGTCTCTGGGTTTTCTGGGTTGAACCAGTGTTGTGTCTCCACATAACAAACAATTAGACAAAAAACAATTTTAGGTACTTTGTTACTGGCAGCCTGTCACAAAACACACTATTTGTTCCATTTCTTTAATTGAATCTATGAAAAAAGTTAAAGATAACAGTCTAACAAGCATAAAATATTATTTTTGCACCAATAGGGGGATTCCTTGAAAAACTTCACGTCTTAACTTTTACTTTAAAAAATTTCAGAAAACTGGACAATTTGAAGACAAAAGAAGTGTCAGGCCAAAAGAAACCAACGTATGTACAGAGGACGTCAGAGAGAGGTACAACACTGTCTACAGCCCTGTGAAACGCGGTTTGGAGCTGCATTTCAGCCACGGTTGTTGGGGATCATGTTGGAAAGCATGTTTTTGGCAACAGCTTCATTTTCCAGCATGAACTATTCCTGAAAAATACTTAAAGAAATTCCAAAAGAGGCTGTTTTTCCTTTTCCATTTATGTTTGTAGATGTTTCAACAAATCTGTTTCAATAAATGAGGGGTAGCCCAAGACTTTTACCCAGTACTGCACATGTACTACCCATGTAGCTCTCACATTAATACAACAGGGTGTAAAAGTAGAATTTATGGCAGAGCTGCTGCACTGTGTTGCATTAGTCTGGAGTGCTGTTGTTAAATAACTATTTCATAAGGGACTGTTGTAATTGTCTGTGTAGATTCTCAGTCATCCAGATTGTGTTAGTCTTGACAGCTTAAAAAAAAGCAACTGGACTTCTAAGTATATGGCAGCATAAGGTACATTATAGAGTAGAAATATATCCCGAACTACAACTTTAACCTCTCATTTCCTTTTATTTCTACATTATACAGTAATTGCTTAGTACCAAAAGGCTCTAGATAATACTGAGTGAAAGAGTTTTAACATGTAGTCATTTAGGAAACAGCAGATTAATCCCAGTGGTTTTAAGGTGGATACTCTTACATGGTTTTGTATACCTCATCTAGTTCTGCTCTATTCAAATGCTTCATTTGCAGATTTGTTATATGATCATCACTGAGTCACTTGAACAATTGAGCACTATCCCCAACTCTTGTACAAATCTTCTTCATTCACACACAATGACATGATTCAGGACTATAAAAGAGAGAAGGGGATCATTCACAGTGTTAAACTTTATCCAGACACACAGCATGTAGCCTCTGCTATTTCAGGAATACCTGCAGGGTATGTGTGTTTATGTATGTAGGAGTGTCAGTGATCTTTCCAACCGTCGTTCATACTGTAACTCTGTCTGTACTTGTTGTTGGACGACTGCTCTTTCACCACAACAGTTCATGCTTCTCAATATCTGACAAGTGTTGTTGTCTGTTAAGTTCAACTATGAAACTTAAAACTGAGAACATTTTCAAACACGGTGTTCGCTTTTCTCAGCTAAAGAGCTGGTGCAGTTTGGCAGTAAAGCCCTGGCATTAGTGTCAAAGCAAGATAAGGTTTAATGAAAATTTGAGTTGAGAAATGAAGTGCGTCAGCAAGCGTTCTTACAAGTGTCGACAGATCCATGTGTTTGTACGTGTCAGCAGATTAGCATCGGTACAGCTAGCAGTAGAAGTGTTTGCAGCATAATGATCTACTTTTTGTAATCTGCCACAGCACAACTTTCTGTGGCCTGTGTGTGTGTTTGTGTATGTGTGCGTTGGTGTGTAACCGTTCACATTTGCTTCCTGTTTGGCTATGTAAGCCAACCAATCAGAGTAAGCATTGCACAACAAGAAGTCATGTTAGGGTAAAAGTTGCTGCTGGCTGATAGCAACAGGAGCTGAAGGTACAATAGAGACATTACATTCAAAGCAGGCTGTGACCTTCCACTGTAACCCTGAGCAAGGCACTGAACAACCTGTGTGCGATAAGATAAGCATGGTGCAAACACACATGCAAGTCGATTTGACTGCGTTTGTGCTCTTGGTTAACACAATCCCCAGTGTCAATTCTGTGCATGTCAGCTGATCTGCAGGTCAAAGGTCAGACTGAGATGGTTAAACTAAAAAAACTTCTAAATACTCGAAAACTTCCACTCTGTACATTTCAGGGAGCCTTTTAGTGACAGATGAGTCCTTCTGGAGCTGCAGAACAAAAATATGGATTTCTCAGGGTAAATATGTCTTCATGTTAAATAATCTCGTCTTAAAACAAGTTCCTTTTTTTGTGTTTTGTTTATAGTTTTTAGAATCACGTGCGAACTGGAGCCTTTCCCAGCTGACACAGGGTGAGAGGTTGGATACACACTGGACACCCGCCAGTGTCTGTCTTTCATTAATCCATATTATGAAATCTGCAGCAAAACTCAAAAAGCTTTACGCAAAAGCCTCATTAAAATGGAATGATTCTACATTGGAAAAGTCAAGAAGATAAAATATACCATACAAAACATAACAGACTGAAAAAAATATCAACAAAAAAGGGCTTGGGGAGCCCTTTTTTTCAGGATGCAGAGGCTATTGCATATGTAAGCTTTAAGAACAATAATAAAAAGCCCTTGACCCCTCTCATAGCTCTGTTCTAGTCTGGCTGGGAATGGAAAGTTTGGTACTTTACAGTCTACAGCTTATAATGTTTTGTAATTTCTTGTGTTTCATCTTGAGGATCTGTCTCATAGGTCCTCAGATTGGAAATGTAGCAGCTTTACTATTAAATGCATTTATAATATAGCTTTATGTTGCTTATTGATTGCATATTTCTGAATCATCATCCTTTATGTATTTTTATGCACTCCTTTTCATCTTCAGTCAGAATGAATCCACGTTAGAGGAGGTTGAAAGTGGAGCTAATATAACCATTTGTCTTAAAAGACCCAAAGAAAAATAACTACATACTGAATAAGTTAAACAGGGGCCACAATTAGCCTTAAGTAGTCTTCACTATTCAGTTTAATAACTAATTAAATCCAGTTATGACACAGAAAAGGTAAGCACACAGCTAGGTTATCCCAGCTGGCACCTGATCTGCAGACATCACTGCATTCCCAAGTTCTCCAAACCATTGACGTAGGGAAGGTGACGAGTGACGAGACACCAGACCGGCTTCCCTGACATTTCAGAAGATAAGTATAGGTTGCAGAAAGCTGCATGCGTAAACCAGGAGGTCATTTAATGTAGGAGAAAAGTCTTGTTCACGCAATCTGCGCCTCTATTCTTGAAATTAACATCATAATAACATCTGTAATGTAATACATGTTAATGAGTGATTACTCATTAACATGTATTACATTACAGATGTTAATTTCAAGAATCACATTTTTAAGGATAAGACTCTTAAATGGAAATACTTGGTTGTAGATTCTGTCTCTTCCTGCTTCTCACTGAAAAACTTCAATATAATATCTGCCTACTCTCTATCTCATTTAAAATAAATAGACAAAAAAAAAAAACAAGAAGTTGAAGCATTTGGACCTTTCTATTTTTATATGCTGTCTAGTGTATCGTGTTCACCTTTTCTGTAGTTGCTTCTCACTCTCTTTGAAGAGCAGAATATTGCTCTGTACAAATAAGAGTGAAGAATCTGCCTGCTCCTCGCAGTTTGACCTGTTACCATTATTAGTTTATGGCACAGAAAGAGGCTTATACTTTCCTGGCTGTGCTGTGTGGGTGTGACCAGCTCCCTTCACTTCAAATAATCCACTTTAACGGATCTATAAACAGGAACACGCCGATTCTCCCTCCTTCCCGCTTCATTCCTGGTCTGTAAAATTCAAAAGTGGCCTTTATATGGGAAATGTGAAAAGTAAATTTTGGTATGGACTTAAACAGCAATGTGCACACACGCTTTTAAGATCAGGATCTTTAATTTGGTTACTATACACATCAGATCATTATGAAGACTAACTCTTGATAGAAAGAACCAGTTGAACTGACTCTACCAGCTGAGGTGGGGTCTGGTCAAAAAGGGACCTGATCTACAATTCTCTCAGGCCTGGGAGCAGCCTAACCCTAACCCCGAGGCAGGAGAGAGCAAAAAAGGTGAAGTAAAATTCAATAAATAAAGAATGCTGTGATCCAGGACCTGACACGTTCTGTGATGCCCCTCCCACTTCGATGTCCCCGGGGCCCCGTCTGTGTGTGCTTTCTTACTTTTAGTTGCGTCTCTCTCCAACAAACACAACACCCACCCAAATCAACATTCACCCTCACAGTGGAAGAAAACATGAATATAGTAATGTTGCTGTTGCTTTCTTTTTCTCTTTTCCTGTGTCATCTACAAATTTCTGAGCATTATTGAAAAAATGTGCAGTCATTTAGTGACTTAATTTTTCCTTTTGTATGGGGGTAAAAATAATCTGCAGAACTTAGATGTCCTGTTGCTCTGTGAACATTCAGAAAGTGCAATTGTTTGTTACACAACATCTCTAAATGTGATTCTATCTACTGACTTCTGTCAACTTGGCAGATTTTATCTTCAACTCTTACATGCTGTCAAACTTTGGTTAGAAATTCATGTGTAATGCAATGAAAACGCATTTGAACTCTTGAAAACAAATGCTGGAGAGACGTGTGTGCATTTAGCACCTTGTTTTATGATGTGTTAATAAATTTGCCTGCAGCTGTATGTCACTGTTGCACTAAGAACTTGATTTTGGGGTATTTATAAGGGATTTTATAATGTTTTCTTTAATTTGTGACAAATGTGTCTCATGTCCTGTTTAAATGGTTTGAATGCTTGTGATGCAGATTTCATGAATTTATTTCATTCACCAATCTCTCTTCCTCGCTCACACAGTCTCATATGAACTCTTACAACAAATCTGACCATTTATTTTACAGGGTCTTATTCGAGCTGTCCTAATGACACAGTGACACACTGCCTCTACAGGCTCTTAGCATTCATAAAAACAATCAGCCCGCTTTATATTATTCAGATATTTATTGGGTTTTTGTTTTATTCTTTACAGCCAAATGCTTTTGTCACAGACAATGTTCATCAGCCAATCACCTCAAGCCTAATCCAGTCAGCTCGAAGCCGATTGGCTGTTTGGGTTCACTCCCACCATCCAGCCCATTTCCCTTTGTGTATAACAACAATAACAGAAAGGAAGCACTTTACAGCACCCAGACACACGGTACATAACCACACATTAACCAGTCAACAACAGGAAAAAATAAACCGTCTTAACGCAATTTAAGACAGGAATCCGCTAAAGTTACGTTTTAAACCTGGAAGAATACCAGCGGAGTGAGACAATTTAACCTATTGTGAGTGCGGTTCTTGTCCTCTAAACATCAGTGCCAGTATCTCAAAAATACAAAGAGGCAGTGCTTTGCAGGAATGACTGAAAAAAAGAATTACACTCAGTTTAAAAAAAAATAAGTTAATTTCTGCTGGAAACCAGTTGAATCATTCCATCCTGCAAGCAAATTCTCCAGATGTTAAGGCTGCCTGTCGTTAAAAAAGAAGTAGAAAGGAGACTTTTCTTTCTGTGAACATAAAGCAGGACAAACCTGAGCAGGTTCAGTCTTGGTGAAAACAAAATGTCCGCCTGAAAGTTTCCCTTCAGGGTGTCAGGATGTCATAGAACTCAACAAAGTCCTTTTGCATGAAATTCTGGCTCTGCATAAGGTCGTCTTCAGAGGGGAAATATTGCATGCTCTCCTCTTGGAGACGCAGACTGCTTTCATGCAGAAGCAAGCTGCCCTCGTGCATGCACAGAGGGTCCTCGTGCAGTACCACAAACGGTCCCGGAGGCGATGTTGAGCCGTATGGGTTGGGACTGTCCAAGAGGGCTCCTCTGGCATTCTCCAGGACGCCCAGGTATGAGTCCATGTCCGTCAGCTCCATGTCGCTGTCGGAGCTGCAGCCGCTATCGCTCCCCACTGAGTCACAGCGCATGTGCAGCATCTCGTACTTCTCATGCATCAAAAACTGGTTGGTGTTCTTGGGGGCCTGCATCCCCCTCACCCTCTTCCCCTTCACGTTGACGGGACGAAGGGACAGCGCCGGCTTCTGGTGGTGTCGGGGATGATGATGGTGGTGGTGATGTTGATGATGGTGATAGTGGTGGTGGTTGCGCCCTTTCGGCCACCCTCCTCTGCTCATCCTCCGCCCCTGCAGGCGCCCCCTGCAGCTCTTGGACCAGCCGTGCTTCTTGCGGCCGTCCCTCTGCAGAGCCTCGTTCCCGTCCTGCAGCAGCTTGGGGTGTTCGCAGATACTCCTGCACATCTTCTCTGAGAGCATTTCCTTGTTTCCTTTCCTTTCTTGATGTCGCCTCTCAGCTACACCTCCTTCACATCCTCCTCCTCACTCGGTTGCTCACTCAACAACAACAATGCGAGGATCGTTTCTCGATGTGTGGCTCAGATCACAAATGACCCTAGTCTACCTTTTGACTATTTTTTCACTTTTTTTCTTGACCTCTGGCTTCGGCTGGTGCATAGCCTCCTCTGCCTCCCCTTGCAGCAGCAGCTTGTCTGCTCGCTTGGCTCTCTGTAACGCCCTTCTCTGTCTCTCTAATGTCTCTTTTTTTCACCCCTTTCTGAAAGTGAAATCAGCTCCTTGCAGCTCTGATTAGTGAACTGAAGTGAGCGGGGTAATAGTTTTGAGAGTCGTCTCGCTGATTTTAAGGTGTTTTTTCTCTGAGTTAAGTCTGTAGCGACATCAAACTGAGCGCTTACCATCACTGACTGTGGAGCTGCCGTCTTCTCGGTGTTATTATAAGGAGCTGGAAGATTTCATTTGCGTAGAAGGAGGCGGGGGGAGATGTCATTTCACGCGTCTCCGTTTCCCATTTGAAACATTGTAATATGACATATGTTGTCGGTCATTTATTCTAAACCTCAATGTAAAGTACCTAAATACCGATATGAAGCTACTGTAGCTATGTTAAAAAGATGTGGTGTGACACACAGAAAGCATCCTCCCCGCCGAGTGATGGTTCAGTCCGCCTTAGTTTTGGCAGTTGAAATCTGATGCCCAGCTGCTGCTGTTCCTTCTTCCCCGCCCCCTCCCCATGGAAAGACAGTGGTCACGTACAGCAACAACAATCGGAGCGGACTGGAGTAGTCACCGTAGCTGTCTGACAGCCGTTATTTACGGCCTTGTACATGGACCATGCCCACAACAGTTCAGAGTATCACAGCATTACCGAAAGATCCGTCCGAGGACAGCAGTTTTCTATATAAACCACTGTAATTAATGGTAGCGAATAACTTTGTACGTATTCATTTGTGCTCTAAAATGGCTTCCTCGAAGAGAGCACACCAGTCTCACCACTTCGGTTCAAACCAGAGGTGTCAAACTTGTGGCCGACTGGGCCCACTGGGTTTCATTAATTCCCACAAATTTTCAATAAAGTTCATTTATTATTTAATTCTAGATCTAGGGGAGAACTTGTCTGTCCTTTCTTTTCCTGGGATCTGAAAATGATTGTGGAAAAACTGAGGAACAGGCTTGTTTTTCTTAACATGCTCCAAGGTACTCATTATCAGTCTTGTAAATGGGTAACTTATTCAAAAATAATTAAGGATAATCTATGCAAGCTAGTTAGACAGCCTGGTTTAGATTGACAGCTTTGAAGAGGTTAAATAACAACTTTTAAGGTGGTCATATACTCCAAGTGTTGCTTTGCTCTGCACTTCTAACGTAGATAAAGTTATGCCATAAACCCCTGCTTAACTTTAAAGGCTTTGACTAGATTAAAATAAAATGCCTGCACTGAGTAGGAGATGCTCTGTATCTCTTTGTACATGTGTATAGTTACAATGAAAAGGCATTCGTCTTCTTTTTCTTCAAATTCTGCACAGACTTTTACTTGCTTTTTTCGATCAACTCACCTTTGTAAAACATTTAGCGTCAACATGAGGTTGAGGTTGAAATCTGTTATTTTATTGTAATATTTTAACAACTACTGCAGGATAGGGCTGAAGAGACATTTTAAAACACTTTTTAACCACAGGATATACTGTTCGAACTGCAAGAACCTTGGTAATAATTTGATATCCAGCGCCATCATCTGGTCCAACATGTTCAAACCAATGTCATTGGTTCAAACACAAGCAAAAGTAACGGGTCCAAATATACGTGCAAACTCAGAGTACAACGTGTACTCCCTCTACCAGTGTGTTTCTAGTACAGCAGTTTAGGCCTTTATTTAAAGTTAGTTAAATGTCTAGTAAGAATAAAAAATATACATATCCTGATCTCAAGTCTTGCTCAAAAACAAAGCAAAACTCCAAAACTGTATCTTTTTTGTTTTTAAATTAGTTTTCCTGGTTATTGTTACTTTTGGTGTCTTTGAGTGTGTGTATGTTCTTCTTCTGTTAATTGTCTTAAACAGATCATGTAACAGTGTAATTGCCAGCACTGCTGAATGAACACTTGTGTATTGTATATATTCCACATCTTGGGAATATTTGTGCAAATAATTAATAACAGATTGTGTTAAAATGCTGTTCCGGAAATGATGGCCTGTCTTCCTAGAAAATGAAGAAGGTAAACAAGGTAAAGATTACTGTCATTGTGAGCATGCCAACCTGTGAAAGGGCTGCTAAGTGACATTTTAGATTTGTCATCTAATCAGAAGAAGAAAGGATGGATTTCATCTTTAGTGTTGACTGAAAAAATTAAGGAGCCCTTTAGAGTTGAATTCCTTTTTCATTCATTTTTTCACCACAGGCTATTCTCTCCAGTTCAAATATGTGTATTTAATTCAGTTTTAGTCAACAAATCAAACACAATGGAGGACCACATCAAGCCTGCAAATATGGCACAGTGACCCCACAGTGACCGTTAAATGGAGTGGCTTAAAACCAACTAAGGAAATTAGGCTTATCTTTAATGTAAGCTGTAGCTTTAATGTAACCCATCCAAGAAAATAAATGGAGATGTGTAGCAGAGAGTGTAGCAGACTTTTTTTTAACAAGATTGTTTAACACACCCCAGAGCCGTAGAAACTACACAGGGATAAAGCTGCTGAGCCATACCGTGAATACGTGGGGACGAGCTGTTTAAGCTAGGTTAGGTTAGAGTGACTAGAATGGACAGGATTAGAAATGAGTACCACAGAGGGACAGCTCAGGTTGAGCAGTTTGGAGATAAAGTTAGAGAGACGAGGCTGAGATTATGTGCAGAGGAGGGATAGTGAATATACTGGACAAAGGATGTTGAAGATGGAGCTGCAGGCATGTGGAAAACAGAAAGACTACAGAGGAGATTCATGTGAAGGAGCCCATGCCGACGGCTGGTGTGGCAGAGGAGGGTGATGGGGATAGGGTGTGTCAAATAATTCGCTGTGGGGAAACCTGAAGGGAGCAGCTGAAACACGAATCGGGGTGATCAGTTCACCAAACAAGGCGTGGCTATAGGAATGACACATGCTCATCTCCATATTTTAATATAACATCATTTATTTATTTATTTATTTATTTATTTATTTATTTATTTTCAAGAATCAAGAAAAGAAAAAAGCTAACTTTTTTTTTAAAGGTGACTGTAACTAAACAACTTTTAAATAAAGTTTTTTTTGTCAGCCAGTCACCTGCTTCGTTCAGCATCATAACAAACATGGCGGCAGGAGGCGGCTGACTGAAAAGGAACGCTATGCATCTTTAGCAACCGTTTTCCTCAGTAATAGATAATCTGCTCTCGTTGATCACAGCATGGAGCCTGTCCCGTTTACGGAGGAGGTTTCGGAGAGAAAAGTATCTGTTGTCGGCTCAGAGTTGGTGGAAAACTACACTGTAAGCTCCGCTCCGCTCTTTTTAGCTTAATACCAGTTAGCTTAGCTTGTAGCTCTCCCGGCTTCCAGGTCTATCGGAAAAACAGCGAGTAATATTTCTGAGTTCCCCAGACAGTGGGTGTGTTGTACTGGACTTAACATGGAGATGGATTCGGGCTTTATGTCTTTATTCTTCAGAGCATGGTAAAAGCAGCCGAAAGAGCAGCTCACAGGCTAACTGCTAACTGCTGCCTTAATTTTCACACACGGTTTCGGTTGGGTTACAGTGTTTCCTCTTGAACGTGTAAATCTGATAGTCTTTTCCGGATTCAGTCTTTTTCTGTTCCTTTCTTGTATGACAGTGTGCTGTGTGTTGTAACACTCTGTGCTATTTAATGTGGCTGATAACCCGATTTGCTCCTGTTGCCTCTTGTAAGTTAAATCCTTTCTCAAGATAGCAGGACAGAGAAAAAACACCAGATTTTGAATTGATTATTAATATAGGTCACTCAGCTTTAAAAACAAGTAATGTCACCACACGTTTTCATCTGAATGGAGCTTAATATGGGAGAGTGATTTGTTCACATAATATTTTTTTTGCCATGTTTTTCTGAATTGAAGAGATGCTTTTAATCCACAAAGAGCCTGAATGCTTGAATTAAGTATCAACTGTCCCCCTAGTTCAATACATTTTTATTTGGTTTAGGTGTGATACATTTGACAATTTCTGCCATTTTTGTCTAGTGAGTCACCACATAGCCACCCTGACTGCATTTTAAATACAACAGCTGTACGTTGAAGTTCTTCCTTCAGGAAACATTTGGGTTCATCTGATCCTGGAAACAAGCAAACACGTATAAGTGTGCTGTGAATTTTCTGTTATTTGGTAAAATGTTTTAACGATTTCATGAATTTAAACCCACTTAAAATGTAATTGGTCAAGAATATTTGACCAATTGGTGATTTTCCTTTGGCAGAAATTCCAAACCTCTTTGGTGGAGATCAAAAATTTTTATATGCAGGAATCCTCTGCTGGATCACAGGTTTTAATATATGCTTCTCTGATGTTTCAGGTCTACATCATTGATGTGACGGATGGACAGCACAGGTGGACTGTGAAGCACCGCTATAGTGATTTCTACGACCTCCATGAGAAGGTAATAAAGTGGGCCAGTGAGCAGCCTTATGCCACCATCAACAGTTCAGTTTTTTAGTCTGAATTCTCTAGTAAACTACAGTCACAGGGCTAACACAGAGAGATGGACACATTCACACTTATGAGCAATTTAGAATCACCAGTTAACCTAACCCCTGATGGTGGATTAGATTCCAGGCTCTTCTTGCTGTGAGACAACAATGCTAACTACCTTTAGCACTTGTTGTAGTTTTTTTTTCTCTACTTTTAATAGGACAATTTACTGTCTATAAATTGTGTTCATAAAAATATCTCTAACAATTTCCTCAAATTTTTTTTATGCCAATTTCTCTCTTGTTTGAATGGCATTCTGATAAGTCTTATCAAATTACAATGATATAAAATGGAGAATAGCTACAACTTTTCATGTTCTCTGCACCTAGGAAACATTTGTTTCTTGGCTGCAGGATTGTTTTATTATGAAAATCAAACCTGGTTTTACTCCTGATGTTTGTTTCCGCTTAAGCTTACGGCAGAGAAAAAGGTTGATAGACGACTGCTTCCTCCTAAGAAGATCTTGGGAAAGAACTCAAAGAGTCTGGTGGAGCGGCGGCAGAAGGAGCTGGAGCTCTACCTGCAGACTCTTCTCCAGCAGTTTCCTCAAGCCACGCCCACGCCGCTCACCAACTTCCTACATTTTCATCTCTATGTGAGTACAACCTATAAACAAGTGTGCAGTTCATGATTTAGAATAACCTCAGTTTGGAGTGGAGGTCTGTTAGGTCTTCACTACAGCAAAGAAAACAAGGTCAGAGAGTCATGCTGGTTGATAAGATCTAGATGTTCCCATTCATTTTAAATCTGTTAGACACTTTTGAGATAAAGACTCTGTGCAGACTAGTCAGGCTCTTCAGACAAAACCAGTCAAACACTTTTTGTCTTCCTATTTCAACATACGACTTCGTGTTGAAACAAAACGTTAACTGTTGACACAGCAAGACTGAGCTATTGAACTATTTAGTTTTGTCCTGCTGTCTTGATTAATTGACCTTATTTTGTGTTAAATGTTTTGCACTTAAGTTTTCCAGCTTAGAGGTTTTTTTTCTTAAATAGAGAATCTACAAGCAGTAGCAGTAATATCTCATTTTTATTTTTAACCATAACATATTTACATCAGTTCATCTCTCAAATATGCTTCTGATTTTGAGAATTTCAAATTTATAGAGCCAAAGAATTACAGTATAATACCACAGTAAAACAGTTTTTTATCTCTCTTGAATGTAAAAGCATTCCCTTCGAACAATCAGCACAATTACAGCTATCGGTACGTATAAGCTTCAGTATAACATTATAGAAACAGGTGTCAAAACACTTTCCTGAAGTGACATAAGCCCAAACACATGGCACCCACCCCTGAGAAAAAGTCTCTTCATTTAATATTAACGTCAAAGCAGTTCATCACAGTAAACACAAGACACCATCCATCAGTTATAGGCCTGATTAAATAATTTACAACATCGCATTTAAAAAAGACTCATAATAACAGTATGTGAGGATGTAAATCATGTATAAAATATATATAAAGTTTAAAACATTATTAAAAATTTAACCTCAATAAATTACAGACAATGTTTCAAATAAAAAATACTGAGCCCTTTTGATGAACTTGAACTGAGTGTATTTTATTGGACTCTCTTAAATAATACAAAGAAATTATTTAGTTACTTTTATGAAGGAAAGTCATGGTGAAGTGGACTATTCTTCCATTTAAGGGCTGCAAAACGTGCTGATAAAGTCTAAAAAATACATCATGTTTGTACGTGTCACAGTGTTTTGCACAATGAATGCTGTGTTTGTAAGAATTGATCACGTCATGAGTTTGGCTGCAACTTTCATCCCGAGCTCTGAGTCATTGTCAGTTTTACAGCCTTCTTACGGATGAAGACATTACCCTCGGTAATGTTCTAATCCCACAGCGTCATCCCAGCAAACAATACTGAATAACCATCTTTAACTGGTCTTTTCTCAACGTCTAGGCTTGGTTGAAAACTAATCCCAAAGTTCACTGTCACCTTGTTAGATTTGATAGCTAGCCTGTTTTATATTATCCTTATACAGAGTTCAGCAAAACAAAGCCCTTAATTTAGCCAAGAGTGAAAACATCTAAAAAAAACTGATCATGGATTTCTTACTCTGTGGCTCATTTCTCATCATACTGAGCTGACTGATTATACAGGTTAACATCAGGAGGCAGAGAGCTGATGGTTTTGTTAGGTTTGCCACAGTTTCACACGAGTTCATCATGCAACAAATTTAGATGTAGATAAAATCTCAATGCTACACGAATGGCCCAGTTGCCCATTGAAAGAAACCACTGGGGTCTCTGTAAGTGAGCTGGGCTGAACAGTTGATAAAACTGAATCCATGTATCAAGGATAACTATTATATTCTGTTTCTTTGTATTATATAATTTCTGTGACTTAATTTTCTTTGATAGATCAGTCTTGTATAACACACACAGTGGTTTGAGGCTTTGTGATGACAGAGACAGTGATCACATTATGACGATAATGGATTAACAACAAGAGGCCACTGTTTGAGAAGCCTGCACGGCAAAGCACACACAGGAAAACCTCTCATGTGACTTGAAGTGAACAGCATGTGACTGTAGCGGATAACTTTGTTTGGAATGATAGTGGGAATCTGTATCTTCTGTTTAATGTTCGGTTACATCAAAGTGTAATGTGTTTGAAAGGAAGACAGCTGACAGATCCAGGTGTCTGCAGGCAAACTTTTTTAAAACATGGTTGCAGTTTGATTTGTGTTAATGTTATTTGAAGTTTTTAAAAAAACGTTTGTGAAAGCATCAGTAAAGAAATGATGATCAGCCATAGTGATGGGAATCATAAACCGGTTGCATTTGCATGGCTCCAAGCTTTTTTTGTTTATAGATCATTGCTGGTGTATCTTTCTGTCATTTTGCATTGTTTAACAGTGACGTAAAACTCATATCAGTGGAGTTTTTGCATACCTCAGTCACATGCAAGCGTTTCACTTTGTGTTCAGACTCAGAAACTTCAAAGACCTTTTTTCCCCACATAGAAAATAGATCAGGAATCAATATAGAGTGTGACCTATGATCTGCATCTGTGTCAACATTAGTATCAATTCAATTTACAGTAGAAGAAACAGAATTAAAGAAATATTAGTAAAATACAAGGATGGTAGGGGAGAAGTTACAATAAAGACGAACTTTTAAGAAACTGAAAAACGTTGAAAGGTGATTAAAAGTGATTCAGTAATTCAGAATCTAAATGTAATATAATAAAAAGCTTGAATGTAAAATGGGCGTAGAAATATTTTCTATTTGCTGTTACTCAGACAGACGACGTCTAACAGATGTTAGAGAACCTGAGGAGTAGCAGCTCTACTCTGAGCCCTTCCCAAATGACTGGACTCCTCACCCTATGCTAAAAAAGAGCTGAGCCACCCTTCGGAGAAAGCCTGTTTCCACCGCTTGTATCCGTAATCTCATTCTTTCCCCTTAAAAAGAGCTAACAATGAAAGTGTTAACAAAAAGATCGGGCCTAGATTAACAGATTTAAGGTATTTGTCAACAAAAATGCTCCATCTGGTGGCAGATGGTGGCTAACATTTACAGTGTAACAATTTACCAGCACTGTGCATCAGTGACAGTGTTAACAATTAGAATAAACAACTACTATGTCTGGTAACAGACTAATGAAAATAGCGACGATTATATAAAATCTTATCTCAGGTGTTTCTTATTGTGTCATCGTCCAAACACGACCTAATGTTGTTACTTCAGTTAATTTGTAGGTGATGGCTCCATGTTGAAGTAACGACAACTGTTAGTTATTTTAAAGTTAATATAATTTTTTTTGCTCTTCCAGGAAATCAATGGCATCACTGCAGCGCTGGCAGAGGAGCTGTTCCATAAAGGTAGGATAGCAGACACAGTGGACCTGCTTTAGAGGTCTTGTTAACATCTGATTTGTAAATAACCGTTTGAAGCTGTATATGTGAACATATAACAGACTTCCCTGCAAAGAAAATAACAAGTGTGTAGACCAAGGGTGTCTTACATGTGACATGTTAGGGTCCAAATAGGCAGACAGTGTATTTGCAGTGTGTGAAAATTGTATTGACCTCATTCATAATTCTATTTTTTTTTTTTAATTGAAAATGTTTGAATCATAAATATTGACTCCTGTGTGAGGATGCCACTGCAGGATTCCACTCAGCATTTATCGAAAGTTAAAACGATTTCTAGATTTCAATACGTAGTAAAGAGTAAAGTACAACTGTGTGTAGCTCCATAATACTCTAAAATTGTAATATACATGTAATAACTGTATACTCAAGCAAAATAAGATAATATATAAGATTTTTTTCTAAATGTTTAAAAAGATGGTTCATGTTGTTTATTATACATTTAAGTAATTGTGGAGCTCTTTTTTTTGTTATTGTTTGTTTTAAAATGAAAAGAATGAAAAGATGAATTTGACACGCCTGGTTTGTACAGTGAGCAGTGTCACACTGTCTGTCTGTAGGTGAGCAGCTGCTGCAAGCCGGCGAGGTGTTTTCTCTCCGTCCTCTGCAGCTCTTCTCCGTCTCCCAGCAGCTGCGGATGGCCAAACCAACCTGCTGCAATGGAGATGCCAAAACAGACCTGGGACACATCCTCGACTTCACCTGCAGGCTGCGATACCTCAAGGTTATACACCACTTATACACCAGAAATCCCTGTCATGTCGTTTCCCTCTGAGCATCGGAGGTGGTGAAGGCTCTCACTGGTTTTTGTCTTTGTTTCTCAGATTTCTGGTACCAGAGGTCCAGTAGGAACCAGTAATATTCAGGAGGCGAGTCTCCCCTTTGACCTGTCTATTTTCAAATCCCTGCTGCAAGTAGAGGTAACTGTCTCTCTGTCCATGAAATATGTTTTGTCTGTTTTTATGTACCGTATTTACCGCACTATAAGGCGCACGTAAAATCCTTAAATCTTCACAAAAATTGACAGTGCGCCTTATAATCTGGTGCGCCTTATGTATGAATTTTGGTTTGTGCTTACTGACCTCGAACCGGTTTTATGTGGCACACTATGCTCAAAAATCTGTCAAAAAAAGATTTTTAGTGCCACTTTTTGGAGCATTACGGTTACCGTTGCCAGGAGCCTCGCGGAGTAATACGTACTGTGCTTCAACACAACATTACCGTGTTGTGTGTGTATAACGACTCCAAAATGGCACCCGCGAAGAGACACGCTTACGAAGCTGATTTTAAACTTCGAGCAATTAGTTATGCAGAAGAGAATGGAAATAGAGCAGCTGCCAGACAATTCGGCATTAATGAGTCCATGGTGCGCAAGTGGAGGAAGCAAAAAGATGACCTAAAACAAGTAAAGAAGACCAAAAGGAGTTTCCGAGGGAACAAGGCGCGATGGCCGCAGTTAGAGGACAAAATTGAACAGTGGGTTATTGAACAGAGAACAGCAGGTAGAAGTGTCTCTACAGTCTCTATTCGACTCAAGGCAACAGCGGTAGCACGTGACATGCAGATCAACGACTTTCGAGGGGGACATTCTTGGTGCTTCCGTTTTATGAAAAGGCATAATCTCTCAATCCGCACAAGAACTACTGTCTCACAGCAACTGCCAAACGATTACAAAGAAAAGTTGGCCATTTTCCGCACGTACTGCCAGAATAAGATCACTGAAAAGAAGATCCGGCCAGAACACATCACTAACATGGACGAGGTCCCCCTCACCTTTGACATCCCCGTGAACCGTACTGTCGAGAAAACAGGGACCAGTACGGTATCTATACGCACCACAGGGAACGAGAAGTCATCCTTCACTGTAGTTCTGGGCTGCCAAGCTAATGGCCAGAAACTACCACCCATGGTCATTTTCAAGAGGAAGACTTTGCCAAAAGAAAAGTTTCCGGCCGGCGTCATCGTCAAGGCTAACTCAAAGGGCTGGATGGACGAAGAGAAAATGAGCGAGTGGCTGAGGGAAGTTTATGTCAAGAGACCGGATGGCTTTTTCCACAAATCTCCGTCTCTTTTGATCTACGACTCCATGCGCGCCCATCTCACCGAGGCTGTCAAAACCCAAGTGAAGCAAACTAATTCGGAGCTTGCCGTCATTCCGGGTGGATTAACCAAAGAACTCCAACCACTAGATATTGGTATCAACAGGTCGTTCAAAGTTAAATTACGAGCTGCGTGGGAGCATTGGATGACAGAAGGCGAACACACATTCACCAAGACAGGGAGGCAACGCCGAGCGAGTTACGCCACTATCTGCCAATGGATCGTGGCTGCTTGGGCTAAGGTATCAGTCTCAAGTGTCGTCCGAGCTTTCACGAAGGCTGGAATAATCACTGAACAGCTAAGTAACAGCAACGAGACTGATTCGGATAATGATGAGAGGGATCCGGGCATGCTTGATGCCGAAATTGCCCAGCTGTTTAACTCAGACACGGAAGGTGAAGAGTTTGAGGGAATTGTGGAAGTTGAATGTACCGTACTGGAAAAAGTGTATTTTTCAATATTTAATGTGTTACAGCTTAACAGTGTTAAGAGTTACTGTGAATGAGCTTAATAAAGGTCGAGTTATCTTTTGTTTGTCTTAATGCGCCTTATAATATGATGCGCCTTATGTATGAATGAAAACAGAGCCAGTCTTCAACAGTGCGCCTTATAATCTGGTGAGCCTTATAGTGCGGTAAATACGGAAACAATGTGATTTATTAGTGGATACAACGAGGAAAGCTTTACTGGCTTTGCTAATCAGTGTGACAAAGTTTGCTAAGCTTGAACATTTGCTGAAAGCTCTTCTCGGATTTTCTTTGTTACTAAATATAAATCACTGATTTTGTTTTTGTAAATTTGCTGGGAACGCTGGGAGGGTTAAGAGTTAAGGAAATACAGTATGCATGCCATAGGGTAGAAGAGCTGCTTGGCCTGAATTGAACTGGTCACGCTAGTGTTAAGGTTGAAAATGATTAAATAAAGCTGTTTTTATTATTTTAATAAACACAATGCAATGTGCTCATGAAAGAGTTGTGCTCCGTGTTTTGAGGGTCAAAAGCTTCGTCCAGTGGTATGTTTGACCTGAAATTCTGAGACTGGACGTAGCGTGCTTGAGGGTCCTTTTTGCTGCGTGCTTACAAGTTGTTTACCACAGAGCACACAAGTGTGTACTCTTGTTTTTTGTTTTGCTTTCTTTGAGTAAAAAAAAAAAAGTAAGCTTGTTATTAATCCATAAACTGTACAGGTGCCATTCACAGACACTGTAAGCAACAGATGAATAAAACTTGAATTTTATTCACTAAAATTGAAGCATACACTTCTTGGATAGGCTCTATCTCACAACAAGCCATAGGGAATTTTGGGAATTTTGTTAAATTGATTCCAAAGGCACCAGCAGCAGAAACATTATTGTGAGGTCCAGTACGGGGACTCCAGTTAATGAAGACGAGGCTGGCAGAGCCTACGGCTGCCTATGAGTGGAGCTGATGCCTATAAATACCTGATGTTGAACTAAATTGTACTTTTTTACTTGGAAGATAAAAACTCATAAAAAGATAACAAATAAAATAATAACTTGTTTATTTGTTTCTTTGTGTCCAGTGTGAAAAAAAGCTCAGCTGTTGATCTGAATAATTTTATTTTAATCTGAATTTCACTTCAGAGTTCAAACAGAAAAAAGAATAGAAGATGTTGACGCAGTATCCCTTATCACTCTTTGAAGTTTATCCAAATGTAAATGATCAGTGGTAAGATAAGTCCTTCAGCTTTTAACAATGTTACTGTTGTGTCTGTCTTCAGATCACCGAGTGCAGCTCTCAGCAGATTCTTGGTTTGTCCTCTCTGAGGATGAGCTTGGTGACGATGAGCATCCATCGCTCCACCGAATCTATGATGGTACATTTTAGATCAAATACAGTACATGTCTGAGTATTACTGTCGTGTGTTGCACTATACTGATACTGACGTGTGTTTCATTTATGTGACGCCTCAGTCTGTCCTCGTCCCAGAGGCGAGTGAGTTCTCGCAGTGGGAGCCTGAGGGGGTGGAGTCTGGGTGTCCGGTCACCGCTGTCATCCCCGTGTGGAGAAATCTCACCACGCTGGACATGAGTCACAACTGCATCAGTAGCATCGACAGCTCAGTGGTGAGACACACACCCGCCAAAACCTGCAACATCAGCAGCTTCACCCAGAGTTCAGTCAGTAATTATGTTTAAAAGCAGTTTTTGTTTGTTTTCCTCACAGTGAAATAATGGAAAAATACACCACATAACAGATAAAATGTTACATAATAACATTACCAGATGATACACATTGTAAGTTTTTGTCTGTTTAATTAAACAACATAATAATGTGAGATTTCTGCTGTAAGAAAAAATAGTTTTTTAAAAAACAAACAGAAAATTTCCACCCAGATATCGTAACACACTGATGGACAAAACCTAACACCAAACTACATAATGCTGATTTTTTTTTTCACAGCTCTCCTCTGTTATTTTCAGTCACAGAAACAAGCTGTTACAGTTACAGCTCCTGAGAATCAGCCTATTCATTTATGTCCCCCGTAATGGACATGACGTATTAAATAGAGAACATCTTGGGCTTTCCACTGATATCTGATGTGTTTGGGTGGCCTCTTTTAGCCCCAAAGAGACAGGAAATCACAAAAGGTTCAATGGGAAGATTGTATATTCCTCGGTTTTGCGTGTAAATTATTAAAGGGGACATATCATGCTTATTTCACCATCATATTTTTTCATTATTTAAAAAATATGACAAAATAAATCCTTGTTTATTTTGTAATGGGGAAGTTTTTCCCAGTTTTTTAATGCCGTTCCTTTCAAACCAACTTTCTGCTTATTAGCTGTCACTTGCAAACAGAAGGTTTAAGCAGCAGCTCTGTGATGCTTCTGTGCTCACAGCCAGAGCCCCGTATCCCCACACTGAGTTTATTTCTCTTGTAGAAACTGATGCCTAAGGTGGAGTTTCTGGATCTGAGCTACAACCAGCTGTCCTCAGTGGAAAACCTCCAGGTATGTGACAGAATGAAGAATGAGGACAGGTCATGCCTCATATGACAGTCTGCATATTTCCTGAAACATCCAAAAATATTTTTATAGTTGATAAAATGAACAACGTTGTTATTTTCAGGATGATTGGACAATTTCTATAGTCTTAAATGTCACTGCAGCAATGTAGTGGTGTTAAATGTGTGTTATTTTAAAAAAATGTGTAAACAAAAATGACCTCCTTGTGTTCACAGCACCTGTACAATCTGGTCCACGTGGATCTGTCGTATAACAACCTCCGGGTTCTGGAAGCAGCTCACACTCGTCTGGGGAACATCAAAACCTTGAGCCTGGCTGGCAACCAGCTGGACCGACTGACCGGTCTCACCAAGCTCTATTCTCTGGTCAGCCTGGACTTAAGCCACAACCAACTGGCACAGGTAAGTACACCAAGGACACCCTGATGGCCATGTGGGAGAATACAAAAACATTTCTCTTTTCATGGTTTGTTGCAAGACGGCATATCTAACATTTCCTCCTCAGTTTTTTTTTTTTTACATTGCTGTGTAAAAATTGTATTAAAAAAACTAGAGAAAACAAAAAACATGTATATAAAAGATGTAAACGAGTATTGAAATGATTAAACCTGACATTTTATTCTACCTTACATAATATATAGGGCTTCTTCCTTCTCAGTTGGTATCCTTTTCTTGAAGAATTGCCTTAAGAAGTATAAACCTGCTGTACTTCCGAACAATAAGTCTGATCATAGCTTTAAAAAATAAATAAATAAAAAATCTTGATATTTACAAGAGTTCGTTAACACCTTGGTTTGTAAATGCCTCCAAAGAGTTTATATGATTCCACTGTTTCACCCTTTTCTTAGCAACATTACTTATAAATTATGAAATACTATTTCATGCTTCAGTGTATAGAAATATTAATGGATAGATTTGCGGATAGATCATTTTACCAGAGCTGGATATGGGTTCAACTAAGAGGATTAAAAGTTTTGGAACTAGATCCAGGAATTAATGTAACATAGAAATAATAAAAACTGAAAGACGTCCTCTTAATATTAAAACCCCCCCAAAAACATCATAAACGAAGTTCTGTCTGGACCAAAGATTTTGATTCAGGTGGGGTGTGCAGCCTTGGCTGAGGTTTGCAGCGTCATGTTTTCACCGTGTGTTTGTATTTTTCTAGTTGGAGGAAATCAGGAACATCGGCTCTCTGCCCTGTCTGGAGAAACTCAACCTGTCCAGTAACCCCATATGCATCATCCCAGACTACAGAACCAAAGTCCTGGCCCAGTTTGGGGATCGTGCAGCAGAGGTGTGCAACCAAAACCTACCACACAATATTATTCCTCCTATGCTATTACTGTTTCGGCAAACACAACTTTTTTTTTTCTCCACTCCTTTCTGACTGCTCTTACAGTCAGAAAGGACACTTACATCATCCACTTCACAGTGCTTGTCTTTCTGTTCTCCACGTTTTTATCTTTGTGTTAATCCTTTATTTCTTTCTATGTTTTTAGGTTTGCCTGGACTGTAATGCGACGACGGAAAAGGAGCTGGACACTGTGGAAGTGTTGAAAGCCATTCAGAAAGCCAAAGAAGCCAAAGATCGCATGAGCGGCAACGACAAGAAGGTAGACTCTGTCACCCTAAGGCCCACCGAAGGGCTTAGTGTCAGTTTGTGTAGTTAAACTAGCAGCATTCATGTAAGTTTGTGGTGAAACATGATAAAATTTTCACAGTACATATTATTATTGTCTAAAATTATTGAGTCTAAAACAATGAACAAATCTATGTTAGAAAGCTGAAAGCAGTTGCACACTGATCAGCCACAACATTAACTACCTGCTTATAATCATGTAGGTCCCTCCCACGCCCCCAAAACAATTCTGAGAAGTAATATCTGTATTTTTATTGATTTTGTGTTTATTAATATTTTACATAACTGTATAAATCATGGGAAAAAGTAATATCATCACATGGGCATTACTGACATTTCCCTCATCATTACGAGGTTATTGTGACACTTGTTGTTCTGTCTGTATATGGGACCTCTGGGTTTGTCCTGTAGTGTCTGGCAGCAGATCCTTTGGGTCTGATGCATTGAGGGGTTGGGACCTGTGAGTCAGGCTTGCTCTTCCCCTTCCCTTTGACGGGGCGGTCACTTTAGCTTAGGGGGTCGTGCCTGGAGTGTATTTCTGATTGTTATGAATGACTCAGAATTTCATTGTAACAAGGTAATTATCTTTACCTGTGGGTTTAATGTATGGCTGATTGGTGTACTTGAACACTGTGAGAGGAACCAAACTGATGTTGTGCACTGATGTCAGTCATATGTGACAGATTCTTGAAGTTATTATTGTAGGGTCTGCCTTACAATACAAAGCGCCTTGAGGCGACTGCTGTTGTGAGTTGGTGCTGTATAAATAAAAAAAATTGAAATTGAAGTCAGACTGTGCCTTTGTTAGTTGAACTGTGTCATCCTATCTTTTAGATAAATTAACCCCGAAACCTGCTGTAGTTGTTTCATAACTTTAACCTGATTGTAGCTCAATCAATAATCATGACGTGTACAAACCCACCAGTTAGATGTAACTAACATAGTTTTTCTGACATCGTATTATTTACTAACGGCTCCTGAAGCCTTGAAAGTTTAGCAGAGGTTTTATTAGGTACTAATGCTAATTATTCAGTGTAAGGCGCTGTGTAGTTTTCTTGGTAAATAAGGAATTGCAGTTGGACACCACCTTCATGCTAACATTTTCTGATTGAACACATATTGCACATCAGCAGCAGAATTATTCAAAATGCATCAAATATAAATAAATCGTTCAGTGTGGAGATAAAAACTAACACACTGCAACATAACTGATTTATGAGCTAAATCTGTGTTTAAGCAGCTTTTGCGTAGTGCATCAGGACATGTATGTATCACAGGAAGGAAGGTAACAAGTTTAACAAATTCAGGTCAGGTAAGGACTTTCTAAATGACTTAGGGTTGCTGTTTGGATATTTAGCCTCCAAAGTAGTCTTTACTCATAACGGCCTGCGAAGCTTCAAAGGTTTCTCACACAGGCTACAAACACTGATCAAACTTTAGCCAAATTACAGCTCGTTTATTATTCATGAAATACATGTAATAATAATAATAATAATGCATCTCGTCTCATTTAAACAAAGCCATAATAGAGTCCGGAGTATTTTACTAACACTAATTCTAAAACATGCAGTAGGCTTAGCAAAGGGTCATAACTGACTCTGTGTGCATGACTTGATATATGCCCTAAGTCCTCATACATGTATCTTGACACCACTTAAGAAATTTTAAAAATATTAAGCTGATTCCTGTTTAAATGACAATGTTTAAAAGTCATTGACTGGGAACCCAGATATTTTAATATCTCTTCACATTTACAAAGCCTGTCTATAGGAACAAAATGGCAAATAAAAGAGAGGCACACAGAATATTCACTGTAGTTTGTTAACTGTTGAACCCTTGGAAGCCTAATAGGAATAACCCTTAAAACTCTTTATAGAAGAAAGAGTTAAAGCTACAAAACCTGTCAGTTGTTTAAACTATAGGCACACAGATTTAGCTCATTAACTTCACTGTTATACAGTGGCACCAGACTGCTACAGATAGTTTGGTTTTTATGTTTTTTGTTTATATATCATCAGAGATTGTCTTTAGATCTTTAAAAAAAAAAAAAAAAGGTCATTTGTTGCTCTGCAGCTGAGGGAGCTGCTGGTCGTAGAGTTGTGATGTGATATGTAGATGACTGCTGATCTCTGAAGGCTTCCCCCCCTCTCTGTCCTCCCGTCAGATCAGTGAGGAGACCAGGCTTTCTGCTGCTGTACCTCCTCTCCTCTCCTCCTCCTCCCCCTCCCCTCTCCCGGCCTCCTCTCCTCTCCCATCCACCTGCTCTCCCTCTTCTGTCGCTCCTCCCGCTGCTGTCACGTCCTCCTCCTCTTCCTCTTCTACCTCTTCGGCCCAGCAGGCTGCCTGCCCCAGCAAAGGTAATCATGTATGTATCAGGCTGTGCCATGCTGAGGGAGGGGATGTTTGTTTTTGTTTCTAATAAAGGACAACAGCCAGATGGTTCAATACTACTTCTAAATCATTTATAAATTGGGCGTTGATCAACAAACTAGTTAAATTATTGTGAAATGAATACGTTTGAGTTGAGTTTTAGAAATATCTTTTGACGGCATCCTTGAGTTTCCTACAAAGCAGATATGATGTTGAATCCATGCCTAAAAGCAATTGTTGCATTTTATTACAGTGTGTAAAATCTCACTGCTAGATCACTAGCAGATATCAGATTGCAGACAACTGAATTCTGATTTAATGCCCCTCCTAATTAAAGTGCATAATCCTAGCTACGGTGGCTGCGATAGGACAAACATGCTTCAGTCAGTAAAGAGTTAAAAAATATAAAATGTAAAATGTACCTCATAATTGCCACGGCCGGTCAACCTTCTGCTGCTACCGTTTGTGTGAAAAATAAATAAATAAATAATTGAATATAAGTACAGTGGTCCCTCGCTATAACACGGTTCACCTTTCGCGGCCTCGCTGTTTTGCAGACTTTTTTGTGTGCAATTTTGCATGTTTTTTTAATTTTTTTTTATTTTATATATATATATATATTTTTTTTTTTTACAGCGCATTGTGTTCTCCGTCCTGATTGGCTGTAGACCATTGTCAATCAATCTCGTGCCGTGTCTCCTGTCAATACAGGATGCGTCCAGCTTGTCAAATTTACACAAATCTTCGATCGCTAGCAGTGTGACTCTGAAGTGCTGTACTGTATGTTTGTAAGTTTTCTCCCCAACAAACACAACAATGTTGACAAAACGTCGTCACCTGCGGGTGCCTTTGGTTTCATTCTATAATACTGGACTTATTTTTCTACGAAGGTTTGAACTTTGAGAGTTTTTAAACAAGAGAGAATAGTGTGAAAATGTTGATGCCAGTCTGAGAAAAGTGTGTAGTGAGGGGTTTTACAGCCTTAAAACATCCGCTACTTTTTACTCTTTAAGCTAAGTCAGATATAAGTGGATGAGTCAGTAAAGCTCATTTCTGTTGAGGATATCCTGAACTTTTCTGTCAGTCATGTGTCTCTAGCCACATACATAAAACGCGGCTAAGTGGAACAGTAATGAAACTGTACACAATGTAAAGCTCATAAACTGCTCTAACAGCTTTCTGTCCTCTGGTTTGGAGACGCTTTCTAAATAAAGACAAGTCTCTCTGAACCAAACTGTAAAGCCTTTCCTCCAGCTCAGACTTGGAGATTAACAGCCCTCATAACACTTAATTTTCACTCTTTTTAATTCTTAAATAAAATCTTGCTATATCTCACAACAAAAACCATTAAAAAAAGCCTGATTCCAGACCTCTGAATTACTGCTGGTATCATCTGTTTCCATGTTACATCAGGAATGGAGGCATCATCTTCATCGAAGGGAAAAATAAACAGCTGGTGGACATTATATGCATACATACATACATATGTATGTATATGTGTATATCTATCGATATAGATGGATGGATGGATGGATGGATGGATGGATGGATGGATAGATAGATAATATAGTGGTTATGAAAGAGGTGGAGTTCAATAGAATTTGACCATTATAACATGGGAGTCTATAAGGATTGACTCAGTTATGGAACAGCATGTGGCTGTTAGAGAAACTGCAGTTTTTACAGTTTCAATCAATCAATCTTTATTTATTTATAAAGCACTTTTCATACAAAAAGTGTAGTTAAAAAGCCCCCCCCCCCCCCCCACACACACACACACACAGAGTTTCTGGATTGGCTTCATTTTTCAGCCCCAGAGGTTATAGCTTGATAATACCACTGCTGACATTAATGTTTTGCTGTAGTTCCCGTGACACCTGTTCATTAACCACCTTTTTACAAGATGTGGACGCTAATCTTTCAAAACTAAACATTTAAGCATGTTTTCTGATCCTTATTTATGGCTATTATTTTGTGGAACGTAATTCCATTTGTTACTAGAAGTTTATGTATTTAAATTTAAATGATTTATCTTTTAACCAAGATGTGATACCCTTGGTTTGAGGGTATCACACCTGCCAATGATTTCACCCCCAGCATCGCTGATGTGTTTGCTGTCCTGTTTCAGATATGACGAACAGAGAAGAAGCCCCAGTTCCCCCCAGTGTTCCCCCTCCTGTGGATCCTACACCTCCCTCTGCAAGCTTTAGCACCAACACACACCTCCCGTCTGCTGACTCTGCACAGGTTAAACACACACAAGCATCGGAAATGGGAGGGGTCTGTTACCATCACACCAATAGGATATTAGTTAGAAGGGGAAGTGTTTGGTTAGATGGGAGGGGTAGTATTGGTTACTTAATTATAAATCTTCCTGATATGTTTGTGCAAAATGTTTGAGGGTTGCTGCTAATTTTAAAGAATGCAAACACATCAAAGGAACACAGTAAAATTCTTATGATATTATCACTTTGGACAGGTGAAAGCACAAGACTGCATGTGAGGTGTTCAGGTGGAGGTAGATCTTGTTTAGAGTCAGCTGATCTTTATTGTTGTGTGTCTTTGTGTTTTCAGATGCAACAGCCGGTTGTCAGTTTGTCTGAACACACTCACTCTGGGGCTTCTACAAGCATTACTACTGTTACTACTTCTACTTCTGCTACTGTATGGTCAGTATCAGATAATAGTGCTGTTACCATAACATTTAAAATTAAAATTGGCTTTTAACATCTAATATATACGGAGGTTATTGAGTTTCAGTGACAATAATTCAACAGCAGAAATGTGAGTGAATAAGTCTTTGTAAAAGTCTCACTATTCAACGACAGCAGTCTTGCCAATCTTGGTTTTCTGTTCATATTTGGATGTTCTTGTGTAAATGAGTTGGGATAGAAGCAAAGCTTTACATTAAAAAACAAACCAACAAAAATGTGCATCTATATATTCATTCACCAGTCAGACCTGATTAAAAAAATAAACTGAGAGGGGAAATAAGGCTATCCTCCAGTCTTACTTGTATAGTGCTTGAGATGACATTATTGGCTCAGTCCAGGGTGAGTGTCTCTGGCTCCTCCAATCAGAGCCCTGGACAAAATGCCACGCTAATTACACATACAATAAGAAAACGTAAAAAGCACACTTACCTACATTTTTACTATGATGATAATTACTTGAAATATGATTAGAGATATGTGGTTTTAAAGTGCTTTGAGTTCTCAAGGAGAGTAGAACCAGTCCATTCACCATTTAGATAGACCTGCCAACACACTCCTGAAGCCGTTGGGAATTGTGGATTGTAAATATGCTCCCTGAATTCATATTTCAGCAACAGCACAGTATTAAACAGGTTTGTGACCCGTGACTTGTGGGTAAGGGGCGTAACCATCATCCTCTTTTTGGTGATAAGAGTATTTTCAGTGAGCTTGTATTTATCTCACAGTTAACACATAAGCAGGATGAGCTAAACCAAGCTGTGGTAACAGTATTTATGAGCTGACATTTTTATCTTATATTAAACAAAAGCAATAAAAACACATCTGTTTCTCCTCTCTCCCCCCTCCAGTTGTGTCTGCTCCTCTTCCTCATCCAGACCCGTTGAGGCCAGTTGCTCCTCGTGCAGTGCTGCCTGGTGTCCTCTGCTTCCTTCTCACCTGCTTTCCCTTTCCTCCTCCAACAAGGACTTCATCACCCAGCTTACGCAGCATCTCAGCTCCACCCTAAGGCAGCAGAAGTTGAAGAAGGAGGGGTAAGAGAAGGAGCAGGAGAGGGAGGAAGAGAAGAGCTCTGAATCCAGAGAAGTTCAGTCTCATGTAGAGGGCACTGAAGTGGGCAGCCCCAGGTATTTAAACCAGATATATTCTGTTACTGAATTTGAGGATTCCAGATATTCCCACTGAATCTGCAGAGTCAAAAGGTTTCTGAGATTTTAAAATTTCTTTACTGTGTGTGAAATCCTCTATAATTCATCAGATCAGTGTTATATTCCAGCTGTTTTTAAAAGTTATTAGAGAAATGATCCTTTGGATGCATATTTATAACAACAGCCAGATCATTTTAGATAATCAACTTATAAACACGGAAGAAATTCAGAACTTAAAAGACCTGAAGATGACTTTTAGCTCATTCTGTGTTTATCACTCCAGTCTAGGGTCCACTGATGGCTACTTTGAGATGAGTCTGGATGATTCTGTGGAGGAGCTGGTCGGCCCCTCTTTCATGTCGCTCCCTGCTCCTACTGCAAAGGAGCCTGGTGGCCATCAGGAGGAGCAGAGTGAGGAGAAACAGGAAGAGGTCCAGGTCCGCCGGGTTCTGTGGTGCTACTGTGTTCAGGTGGAGGAGGAGGAGGTGAAGCAGAAGGTGGCATGCCTGGTGCTTGCGGACCAACTGTTGGGCCTGCTGTGCTCATCACATGATTTCACAAGGGCCAATCAGAACATGGGTAAGCACACAGTCTACATGCAGACTGGAGCAAACTTGGAAGCTGTTTTGTCATTTTTATCTCCATCTGACGCACAAATTTGATTTAGAAGAAATCTAGTTAACTTCTACAACACTTCTGTTATAAATTAACTGAGACTAACTAGATTTTGATGTCACTGTTGGTTTCCAACCCGATCTGATGAGAAAGATATTAAAAAAAATCTCACAAGGTTTAATTTGCAAATTGTAAACACTGGATGGTTTGGCTTCTTAAATATAAGGATTTTTATTTTTTTATTATATGGCATATCTTTATGTGTTAAACCTTTGAGAGAACACTGCAAATGCATGATGTGTAGTGCTGTAATATTGAGTAAAATATTAAGATGTGTGTTTTGTTTTCCTGTCTGTAGACCAAGATCTGACTCTGCCTTTGGAGGAAGTGCTGTTCAGCCTCCAGGTGGACCTCCTGCTCCCGTACTCTCAGCTGTCACTCTCTTCCCAAGCTGAGCTCCCAGACTCCTGTCTTGCTTTTGGACTGCAAGAAAAACCAGCCCGTTGGTTCTACATCTTCTCTGAGGTTGAGGAGCTTCAGCATATTAGATCTGAGCTCACGGTGCTGCTTCAGGTCAGAGAGTAACACATAAGGCGCCTCAGTTTAATATTCAGATGCAGTCAGTGGTTTTGAATATTTGTATTTGTATTGCATTTTATCCATTTCAGATTCTTTGATTGCATTTTTAAAGATAAAAATAGAGCTGTGAGTTTATTTTATTAACTTACCATAAGTCATATTTAGAAACAGGAACTTGCCTTCTTTCTTCCAGGTTGACCCAGAGCTCTCCAACACTCGTCAACTCCTTCCTCGCTCACTCATCAACTCCTGGGAGCTGGAGGAAAGTCAAGGGGCGCAGGGAGGCTATCCCGTCCTCTTCATGCCCTCCTCTTCGTCATCTGCCCTCAACACTAATCTCCTCCTTTCAGACATCTTATCTGAGGAGCCCAGCCTTCCCTCTCTGCTCTTCCTCACCCACCGACAACTGTGGGTGCTGAAGATGGACTTCAGAGAGCTGTCAGAAATAGAGAAGCCCAATGCTGGCCTTTGTCATCTCTCCTCCTCCTTTTGTAGGCTAGTCCGTGTAGCCCTCGGCTCTGTGGTGCTTCACCCCAGAGAGAGAGATGCTCAGGTGGGGGACAAAGTCAGCAATGCATCCTGCTCAGACCCACAACATCCCCAGAGGTAAAGATGGTGCGAGTGGATGGTGTAACTCTAGACTTGAACTCTGACATTTATGTTTATGTTCTAAATCGATAATTTCATTAGTTTATATAAAATTATTAGAGCAAAGCAAAGAAATCTGAATATATTTCAGCACCTGAGGAAAAAAAAGATGATGTGAAGTTCAGGGACAAGAAAAAGCTGTTGGTCATTATTAACCATTATGCCTGTTGGCGCGTTTACATAACTGTATAAATGTATATAACTGGAATATGTTGTTATTAGTGTCATAAAACCACAACACAGCAATGATTTATTTAATAAAGAGTTTCTTTAAGCCAACTCTGACCTTATCTACAAAAATATCTTTGTATTTGAAATGATGGCTACATTGATGGTTTTTATATTATGATTAATTGTGGTTATGTCGTGTCTAATCAGTAGATTGCTTTACAAATTAATCATATTCAACTTAGTGTGATTCCTCCAGATTTAAAATCATGAATCTCTACTATTTATTTATTCCATAACCTAATTTGAAACTCTTTAAGTTGAATCTTTTGTATAAATACTATAAATAAAAATAAACAGCAATAAACAAAACATTTTTTTCCTTGATTTTCTTTCTTTAAATCTGTGTGAATCTCTTTTTTTCCAATATTGTATTGTGTCCACTAGGAGGAGTCACACTGTGGAGCTGCTGCTGGGTGATCACAGGCTGCTGGTGTGCTTTCCTCTGGTCCAGAACAAGAGCTCCTTTCTGGGGTTGCTGAGCCAACGAAGGTCTGCTCTGGAGGGGCTGAAGGTGGTGGCCCTGCCCCGGCCCTCCAGGCTCTGTTCACAGCAAGGTGAATTCTCACAAGGTGAAGACCAGACTCTATTTTTTTCATTTTGTTTGACCTCTTCTGGTTTCTTTTCCAAGTATTACAGCTCTGTTGTTGTGTCCTCAGGTCGTTATAGATCCAGAGACCAGTGCTGTTGTACCAATGCCAAGCAGTCACATGGCTCCAGCAGGTACAGCCTTTAAATATTAGCATCAAGTCTAGAGTAATAAAATTGTATTAAAGCGGAAAGTCTGCATTTCAACCACACCTTGATGTGGTTGACAGAGGAAAACCACAAAGAGCTGTGTCATTGTCCAGATATTTATGGACTGAATGTTTTTCTTTTTGTCTTTTCCTTTTCTTTCACAGCTGGGACTCTTCCTGTCTTCACATGGAGGAGAACCAACCCTCTCCCCACCTCATTCCTGGTCTGTCACCGGGTCTGAAGCTCATGGCTGGACTGGGAGAGCAGCAGCTGCTCACCTACTTCCACAGATATATAGCACAGGTAAGAAACCCTTTTTTGAAGCATATGCATTACAAGAAATCACTCAGAGTGATCACTTTGCTTGTAAACAGAGCTCAAATCAGAACACAGTAATATTCTAATAACTCTAATAACTACTGTTTGCAGTGACTGTGTTAGATAAATAAACTTTAGGACAGGTCTTAAATCTTTATTCTATATTCTATGAATCATTTTTAAAATATATATATCACTTATATCAGTCTGAGGCGGAGGAGGTGAGACAGGTGCTGTGGCTGTCTGTGATTCTCTACAAATCTCCTGAGACTGAACTCACCTGCTGTCTGCTACTCTCCACTGATTCAATCTACTTCCTGTTGGAGGATTCGGCCACTACATTGGGTCATCACTCAGGTAAAATTTACTCATGTGACTGGTCCCCGGTCAACGGGACGTTTATCCATCATTGTGTCGAGTCATTCCTGAAATTTCTTTTCTGAATTATTGCGCTTTTTGCAATTGTTTGAGTTATAAAATATGTCTCTGAGTGGTGTCCCTGAGATCATTTTTGTTAAATCTCGATTCCTTTTTTCTTTCTGTCTGTTTCTGTCAGTGTTGGACATATCAGACTCTGGAGATCCAGACACATGTCTGTGCTGCTGTATGTCCATCGGACTCTCTGATCTGCTGGCCGTCAACGTTGGGCTGTTTGATCAGTACTTCAGAGTCGTAGGTGGGTGCTTTTACCCCTGTTCTCTCATGACATTCCAACATTATATTTTTATTTTTGGACTCAACTAGATTAGCTTTGCTTTTTTACTCGTACTGTGAGCTGTGTGCCTGTCCTATTAGATTTATCTCCTCTTACTGAACGCGCAGCACTTTCTCATAAAATAGAAATTTATTTGTGGTGTTAAGGCAAGAGGCGTGTGTGCACGTAAAGACAGGAAACTGCAATTTTTTAAAAAGGAAAATAATAAATAATACCATTTAGAGCAGGGCGATATGGCCAAAAATATTTATCACGATATATATTTGAAAATTTGCGATAACGATATAACTGACGATATAATTGATGCGAGACAAAATACAACTCCACAACATTACTAGCGCAAAAAGACAACCTTCCATTTATTTTCACTTAAACAAGAAGCTGGTTTTTATGTACATTAAAGCTTTATAAAAATGTAACAGTGCAAATGCAAATTCCTTGCTGAAAGTTTAACCAAAAGGCATTTCCAGTAGAAATGGGCTGACATATCCTGAGCATAACCATGTATAATATCCACTGAAGTTAAAAAGAGGTGCTTTGCAACATTAAACTGCAGTGTGCAGTACGTATTTTTCGGACCATAAGGTGCACGGGATTATAAGGCACATTAAGCGAAACAAAGCAGTCAGATAAATCAAACTTTATTAAACTCATTCTTCTTGCTTCCTCCACTTCTGTACCATTGATTCATTAATGTTGAATTCTCTGGCAGCTGCTCTATTCCCATGTTGTTGCAGTATATTAATGACTAACCTCGTATTGTGGATGGATTATCTCAGTTGTTCTCCTGACTGAAGTTTGGTCCGTTTACAGCATCCTGCCATGCGATTGCATTTGTCTCTAACCATGAAGAACCTTCACGTTAACTTTTATAAGTGGAAAAGTGTTAGTGTTCGTCCTCCAGCTTCACTGTTTATGTTATGCTAACATAGCTGTGTCGCTAGCGATCACGTAGCACATCAATTATATACCAGCTAGCCCAACTTCAGTAACCCTACAAACGTCACTGCTGTTTAGTTTCCTGTCTTCATTTATGTTGGAAGTGATAGCAGAGCTGTACGTTTGAATTTTTTCAGAAATCTCTCAGTCAGAACATGCAATATCATGCTTAGGTAACTAGCGAAACTAGCGAGCTAACTTCCGCTAGCTTCCTGCTAAGCTTCTAACTCCGTTAAATGTAATAAATTTTGTTTTCATGGATGCCTGGAAGTTAAACTTCATAGTTACACCTGGTAAAGCAGCAATGCTGATCGTTTTATTAAAGATGAAAGAATTTAGACAGTTTTTAACTCTAGTGATGCTGCAGTGTTGTTTGACCTGAAGCATACGGAGTTTAGGACCCAGATTCTCCAGATTAGGCATCTTAGTCCACAACGACGCCGCTTGCATGTTCTGCAAAAAAATGTGCTTTGTCTGTATCTGACGGACAAACACCAAACCAGTTCCACATCACTGAAGTTGCACCATTTTTACAAACCAATTCTGGTTCATCTGTTTCACTCAACAATCGGCCATGTGCGTATGAAAACAAAGGCACTGCGCATGCGCGTTTTACTCATTCTATCGCGATATTTCATTTTCCTATCGTTGCCTAACATTATACCGGTATTACCGTGAACGGTATAATATGGCCCAGCCCTAATACCATTTATTAAAACAAAAAAAAAAAACTGCCTAAAAATACATTAACACCCACTTTGTTACAAGCAAACCTGAGTCACACATCCAGCAGCTGCACATCAGCTCCACCATCTGGGAGAGCGTCAGTAGTGCTTGTTCTGTTTTTGTATGTGTAGGGACACATTCCTGCTGCAGAGTGATTAGGGCCAGCTGGTCAGTGGCGCCCAAACTTTGAAAATGATAGTGATGGGTTTTCCACCTATAAATAGGCGATTTATTACTGGTAGATTAAAATTAAATAATTGTGAAAAAAAAAAAAAAAGTGTTATGAGTTTCCAGGAATGAACTGCGATTTAACTTGGAAATTCTTGAGTATTTTCTTTTTTTTCAAAGAGTGATGAGGAAATAGTGGGGGGGAAAAAGCAGTTTGAAGCCTGAGCTTTTACATTTTGGGCCATATTTAATATGCACATCCATCTATGTATGTATATTTGTATGACAGAAAGTAAGGAAAGATGTGATGAGCCCCCTTTAAGAGTGAATTGCTTTTAAATAAATAAATAATGTCTGTATAATTTTCTTAGCTTTCCATCGATTCTCCCTCCTGTAGGTCACTCAGCAGATCATGTGGTGTGCTGTCTGAGCAGGGACAGCTATGGCACGAGCGTTTTCCTGCAGGAGCTGATGTCAGCTCTCAGTCTGCAGCAGCAGCTTCCTCCTCCAGAGCCATCCGATCAGGACTTCTACTCGCAGTTCACCAACACAAGCACGGGTAACTCGGGCAACGGTGCCATCTGTTGTCCTAGTAAGAGTGAATATATAATATTAAAGTATAAAACCCACATCTTGTTAACAGACAGCACTTCCTCTCTGTATGGATCTTGATTTTCTCTGACTTCTTAGACTTTTATATATCATGACACTGTGAAGGGACTTATTCTTGGTTGCTTCATAGATAACATCATAGTTCAATATATTCAGTAAAGATTACTCTTTCTTGAGTTCTTCATTTTGTACAATTATGTTGAAAAAGATCTATTTAAGTGTTTATTTTTGTAATGTATTATTTTTGACCAAATATAAAATCTGTACAGACCACCAGTAAGCAATGATCATCGTAACAAATGTAAATTTGTCTCCCCCTGCAGGTAAGATGCAGAACTACGAGCTGGTCCACAGCAGCAAGGTGAAGTTCATTTATCCCAGTGAGGAGGAGATGGGAGATTTGACCTTCATTGTAGCAGAGAGGAAGACTCCAGCAAGCGTGGCGTCCTCCTCCCCATGCTCCTTTAACGTCCTGCTGTACCTGCTGGTCTTCCAGGTAAGAACTTCTTCTTAGAGAAATGTTGCACACAGGAGCGGAAGCAGGATCTTCTCAGGCTAACTCAGTGTGCACATAATTGCAGCCACAATGAGCTTGTGAATATAAAAGGATCTATAAAAGAGAAGCAACGTTGGATGTTCATGTTGATAGAAACGTGACTTCCAGTTAATGTTCACACTCCTCTGTATCTGCTAAATGTGTGAATGGGCTACTGTGGTAATAATGACACTGTGAGCATTTTGGATGACAGTAATTTGGCCTCCAGTAACATTGTGATAAACTCTTAAAGCTGTTTGACTGTTTGGCTGTTGCTGAAAACTGATGTTCTAGATAAAGAATCAAATCCAGTCTTGTTTTTCTGGTTTTATAATTCCTGTTTTCAATTTCTGAGCTTCTTGGTTTTCTCTATTTTTATTATGATTATTTTCCACCAGGTCCAGATCCCCAGCAGTCCACCCAGCCAAGGCTCTGCACTCTCAGGCACCTCCTCTTCTGATTTAGGCTCTGCCCGGTCTCCAGTTCTCCAGCCCAGGACTCTGATCCTAACCAGCACCGATGTGTTCCTGCTGGATGAAGACTATGTCAGCTATCCACTGCCATACTTCGCTAAAGAACCTCCATCCAGGTGAGAACAAAGAAATAAAACCTTTTCAAACAGCCTGTATACAGGGGTGTTATGATAGAGCAGAATTATGCACGACAATGGCCTTAAAGTGGGGAGGAAAGTCCAACAGGTATTAGAAAATTAAAATCAATTCTGTGTTCTGTGTCGCCCCTGAACTTGGTCTGAGTCACAAGTTTGCCGCAAGAAAAAAAAATCGTTGTTTGTCCTCGTCTGCAACAGAAAAAGAGGAAGAAGAGGAGACAGAGACCAGCTGAGATTGTACTGTGCAGACAGCTTAGTCTGAAATACTGAAGGAAAACACACAGCTCAAGTCTGTGCTCAATGAAGCCAAAGAGGAGAAGCATCAATTCAGAAACTGTCAAGAGGAACAGGAAACTGTAACATACTGGCTCTTTTTGATTGTTTAGGTTTCAGTCCGACAGTTCCTGCTGATCCCGATCCCACATTTTACTGGCCCTTTGTTGTTTTGGTTCTCTTTATTCTCACATATTCTTTTAAATATGTTTTACAGTCTGCACGCTCCATTTTAAGTTGTAAGTCCACCACCAGCATCACATTCCTGTTGTGTTTTCCACACCGTGGATAGAAGCCTCTTAGTTTCAGTAACCTCACATGTTTACTTTGATGTGAAAATAGACTATTCCCAGGCTCAGTACAGGGAGTGCAGAATTATTAGGCAAATGAGTATTTTGTCCACATCATCGAGAGAGACTCCAAGCTGTATAGGCTCGAAAGCCTACTACCAATTAAGCATATTAGGTGATGTGCATCTCTGTAATGAGAAGGGGTGTGGTCTAATGACATCAACACCCTATATCAGGTGTGCATAATTATTAGGCAACGTCCTTTCCTTTGGCAAAATGGGTCAAAAGAAGGACTTGACAGGCTCAGAAAAGTCAAAAATAGTGAGATATCTTGCAGAGGGATGCAGCAGTCTCAAAATTGCAAAGCTTCTGAAGCGTGATCATCGAACAATCAAGCGTTTCATTCAAAATAGTCAACAGGGTCGCAAGAAGCGTGTGGAAAAACCAAGGGCAAAATAACTGCCCATGAACTGAGAAAAGTCAAGCGTGCAGCTGCCAAGATGCCACTTGCCACCAGTTTGGCCATATTTCAGAGCTGCAACATCACTGGAGTGCCCAAAAGCACAAGGTGTGCAATACTCAGAGACATGGCCAAGGTAAGAAAGGCTGAAAGACAACCACCACTGAACAAGACACACAAGCTGAAACGTCAAGACTGGGCCAAGAAATATCTCAAGACTGGTTTTTCTAAGGTTTTATGGACTGATGAAATGAGAGTGAGTCTTGATGGGCCAGATGGATGGGCCCGTGGCTGGATTGGTAAAGGGCAGAGAGCTCCAGTCCGACTCAGACGCCAGCAAGGTGGAGGTGGAGTACTGGTTTGGGCTGGTATCATCAAAGATGAGCTTGTGGGGCCTTTTCGGGTTGAGGATGGAGTCAAGCTCAACTCCCAGTCCTACTGCCAGTTTCTGGAAGACACCTTCTTCAAGCAGTGGTACAGGAAGAAGTCTGCATCCTTCAAGAAAAACATGATTTTGTTTTTTTTTTTTTTTTTTTTTTTGCCTGTCCCGTTTGGCTCTTTTGCCATCAGAATTGTTGTCTAAAGGCAAAGAAAGATGCCCAACGGATTTACTTTACCAAATTGACCATCCCAGCCTTGCCTAATGGTCCATTTGATTCACCTTTTATTGTTTATTTTATTTTCACTTGCTGAATACGGGACAGACTTGACTGGGGGAAAGAAGGGGAGAAAGAAAGAGGGAAAGAGAAACAGCTGAGAAGAGGGACGGGGGAGAAGGGCAAAAAACAAAAACCAACAGAACGGGCAGAAAAGAAAAAAAAAATGCATATATCAATCACCTGGATCACCTGCTGAGAAAGAAAAAAGAAAACAAGCAGAAGAGAACAAGAGTAATAGAATAAACAACATCACAATGATATATGGGAATATGACAGTAAATACTAAATATTAAACATTATTGTGCAGCACATAAGATCAACAGAACACAGTGTGCTTTGAGGTAGGAGCCAAAAAGGGTGTAGTTTGTGGGTGTGATCACCCGTGTGTACACCTGTGAGCATGGACGCGCTTGTTTTTTTTAAAAGGTTCCTTCATGTAATGATCTGCTAGAGGGTGTGGGGGGGCCACAGCCCCGTCCTCCAGGGCATGAAGCAGGTATGGAGGAGATCAAAACTCCAGACATCCAGAGGCCCCCAGAACACAAGAGACCAAGGAAGACCAACAGAGGGGCAGCCGCGCCACTGTCCCAGAAAGAGCTGAGGAGAGTCCCAGATGAGGGCTCACTCAGCAGCCGCGGAGCAGAAGCCAGGGGGAGTTGCAGTGACGCGCCCGTGAGCTCCGCCGGCAGCCAGCTGACGCTCCTCTGCACCCTGGTGACATACCCCTACTCCAAGGCCCTGCATGTGTGGGTGGTTGTGGTGGAGCGGGAAGAGGGAGGCAGCTGGAGATGGGGAGGGAAGGAAGGGAGGGGCAAGTGACCCCTCCCTGGGGCCAGCTCCCCCGCTGACCCCAGTAGGCACCCCCATACTCCGCGACCCGCCAGGGAAAGGGGGCCCAGGCCCATCCAGACCGGGGCCCAGTGCAGCAGCGCCTCCCGGCCCCACAGAGCCCGGGACAGTCCACCCAACCCCACCACAGAGAAAACTGCACCCACCCCACCATCCACTCATCTTCCAGACTACATAAGACAATAAGAGCCCAGGCTGAGATCTTCCTCCACCTCTCCTGTATCTCCCCCTCCTGCAGAGAGAGTTCCTGAAGAGAGGAAAGCTCCTGCAAGATGTGACAATCTCCCCCACCAGTTGAAGAGCCCCCCAGGTGGCTCGACGCACCAAACATGATTTTCATGCAGGACAGTGCTCCATCACACGCTCCAAGTACTCCACAGCGTGGCTGGCAAGAAAGGGTATAAAAGAAGAAAAACTAATGACATGGCCTCCTTGTTCACCTGATCTGAACCCCATTGAGAACCTGTGGTCCATCATCAAATGTGAGATTTACAAGGAGGGAAAACAGTACACCTCTCTGAACAGTGTCTGGGAGGCTGTGGTTGCTGCTGCACGCAATGTTGATGGTGAACAGATCAAAACACTGACAGAATCCATGGATGGCAGGCTTTTGAGTGTCCTTGCAAAGAAAGGTGGCTATATTGGTCGCTGATTTGTTTTTGTTTTGTTTTTGAATGTCAGAAATGTATATTTGTGAATGTGGAGATGTTATATTGGTTTCACTGGTAAAAATAAATAATTGAAATGGGTATATATTTGTTTTTTGTTAAGTTGCCTAATAATTATGCACAGTAATAGTCACCTGCACACACAGATATCCCCCTAAAATAGCTAAAACTAAAAACAAACTAAAAACTACTTCCAAAAACATTCAGCTTTGATATTAATGAGTTTTTTGGGTTC